GATGATGCCCGTGGTGGAGGGGGGCAGCCTTTTCTCCTGGCCCAGGGCCGCCGCCTTAGGGATGATGCTTTGGGGGGGGGGACGCTTTGAAGAAGTGGGATTTGCCCACGAAAGCTGGCATATAGGGTATGGGTTTTGTGATTATTATTTTTTGTGGTTAGCAGCCTGTAAAAGTTTCGCCTGTTCTTGCCTTTCTGCCCTTCGGTGGGTTGGACTACAACACCCAGCCTCCTTCCCTCTGGCTGGGGCTGATGGGAGTTGGGAGCCCCCCAACGGCCTGCAAAAGGCAAACGGGTTTGGGGATCCGGGAGGGAGGGAGGGAGGGAGGGGGGTCCTCCTCCCTTCCCACTTTTTGCATAGTCCATATCCTCAATTTCCATGCTTATGGATTCGTTCCCTGCCTAGCCCCACTTCCTCCTGCACTTAAAAAAAACATCCTCCTCTCCCTTGGGTCCACCTGGCGACAACCCTGTGAGGTGGGACTGGATGAGACGAGTGACCAGAGGGGGAAATCACTCGGTGGGTCTAGACTAGAGAGCCCACCTCCTGGCCCCCCACTCCTTAGTGGAGGCTCCACCGCGCAGGCGCCTGGTCGTGTCGGGAGGACTCCCTTTTGGGAAGGAACCAGCCCTTCGTTCTTCTCATCCATGCTCTGAGGTGGTCCAGCCTCTCAGGCAGGTCCCGGGTAAGACCAGAGAGGAAACCTCCCTTCCCCGTGGTTTCTCCTAAAGTATTTGTATTCAGAGATAGACTTTGTCTGAACATGGAGGCTTCATTTTATGCATCCAGGCTGTGGGCAGTGCAGTCGCCTGTGCTCACTGGGGAGTTTCACCCACCCACCCCAGAGGAAAAATTCTGAATCGCACGACCTGAGCTTTTTGCTAAATGACTTTTTTTTTCCCGAACTTAATTGCACCAGGTGGCAGGCATCATGGAGGTAGGGGTGGCATGATGATTCCTACTTCTTCCTGGAAGAAGAGGTTTCATCCTCATCCTCATCTTCCCTCCGAATAATTTATTGACTTGTAGTTCTGTGTTTACACTTGTGGCTAATTGTTGCTAACTAACTTTCTAAGTAGTAACTGCGCTTTGGGCCTTGATTGTTTTGATCTGTTATAAAACCGTTTCACTGACTGTTTTCAAAGGGGTGAGCCCATTTCGCCGTGTGTAACGCAACAACAAGGCCAAGTGTTGGGTCCCTTTTGAAACTCTGCAGACTTGCTTCGTGGTTTCACCCTGATGTTTTACGTGCTGTTTGTAGACAAATATTCCAAGCAGGGCAAAGGTGGGGAAATGGAGGTGGATCGAATGAATGAGAGCAAACTGCTGCAGCGAAATTTTGCAGCACCGTGCGGGGCTGGCTGGCCAGCTGCTCCACTCTGGGGGGGTGACTCCCCCCTTTCTAGCTTTCTATCCCCCCCCCCAGCCTCACCTTGGTCAGTATTCTGGGACCCCTGAGCTTCTTTGGGGGATTTTTTTTTTGAGAGGTTCTTCCCCACTTGGGCAAAAGTTTGGCTTTTCCCAGGCCTAGCAATGAGCACCCCCTTTTTATTTATTTATTTAGCTATGTAAGCAAGACACTTTTCTGGCTCTCAGGAAGAAAAGGAGACGGGGCCAAACCTTAAAAGCTTTTGTCGTCTTTCCTGCTGCTGGCTGCCTGGGGCTCCAGGACCCACCCTGTGAGCAAGGGGAAAAAAAAAAGCATTCTGCGCATTGTCCAAATTCCACCTACTCCCCAGCGTAGCCGAAAAGGCTGCTCGGAAAAACCCAGGGTGGGGCTTGACTTTATGCACAGAGTAGAGGAGGGTTCCTCTTTTTCAGCAGCAGGTGGAGGATGCAAATGCCAGAACCACCTTTGCCCAAGTGGAAGCACCTTCTGTGGGTTGCAATCACAAACCAGGCGGCCCGGGAGATTCTCCGCCCCCCTTCCCCCCAGGAAAAAAAGGAACTGATCCACGCTCTGCCCCCATGACACGTGACCAGGTGTTTGCCTTTCTCCTTGCTGAGTGCAGGATCAAACCAGGAGAGGAGGAGGGGAATCCTTAGACCAAACAGGAAGGAGCTTTTAAAAGCTTGCAGGTTAAACCAGCTGGTTTTCTCATCCCGGCTGCCTTTTTTTTGTAGAGGGAGACTTCAGGTCAGCAACAATACTGTCGGCCAGGCTAGAAAGAACGGTGGCGTACACTTCTCCTCCTCCTCGTCCTGATGAGCATATTCCTTTAAAAACCCTCCAGCCACCAGGTGACCGGCGGGGCTTGGCAAGGGCTGGCCTGCTGGCTTTGGCTTCAGGTTATGAGTGACTCATTACCCAGGAAGTAGCCTTTTTTTTTCCTTGCAGGAGAGGGCTAGCAATCCGTTGTTGCTCCGTCTTGGTGAAACTGTGCCTCCAACAGAAAAAAAAACAAAACCCTGCAGCTTTGTAAGAAGCCTGTTCTCCTTGGGAGTGTCATTTGGTGTCATTGGTAGTTTTTTGCTACCATATAAGGGAAAGCCTGCTTTGCAGTGGAGGGGGTGGTGGGTGGAAAAAACCAATAATAATGAAAGTTTAGACCTTTTAGGGTAATGGGAGGCAAGCCTGGGCTGAATTTCTGTCTTGGGAACAGGAAGTAGGAAACCGACCTTTCGTCGTAGCAGGCTGTGCGCTGGTGCTGGGATCGGTTTTGGGGGTAATCATTAACCGGCCACATAAGAGCTTTTTTTTTCTGCACTTGAGGTCGAGATGGCTGGCGGGTTCTTTTCCACCTCTCCCAAGCTGGGACCGCTTGGGAACTTTCGAAGCCTCAGCCTCGGGAACTGGAGAGGAAGGAAAGGCCACTGTGGAAAAATTCTTATCGGCTCCACCTCAGTAACTTACGGCCCAGTCCAGAGCTTTAAAAAGTAACTTTTGGGCAGTTGGACTCGTGGAATATTTCCGCCAGCGTGCAGACTGGGGGATCTCAGAGTTAATGCCAGGCTTAACTTTCCAAAACTTCTGGCCCAAGCCGCAGAGAGAAATTGTTTCCTGGGCAGAGCCGGCTGAAATCAAAGTGAACAGGAGCTGGCCCAGGGAGATTCCTCGTGGCCTTTAAAAATAAAATCATCTTTGGCTTAAGGAGGCCAGGATTTTTGGCAGAGTTTTTGCATTCATCTGATTTCTAAGCAGCCACCCACTCTGTAAAGAATGAAGTTTTTTTAAAAAGTGGTATTACATAAGGCCATGATTTAATGGACTAGGCGGCCATCCTGAGTTCATTTGCTCACGAGGAAGCCCTATTCAGATTTAATACTGGGGAGCACCAGGAAAGCAAAATCGCATCTCACTCCCTCTGTCGGGGATGCAGTCTTCCAGGTGAATAGGAACCCACCTCTAGTTCATGCGGGGACACACCTACTGTATACACATTCAGGGCAAGGAAACCAGAGAGGGAGGCGATGTGAGCATTCCAGAATAGGGCCAGTGATTGTGCTGCTGGGGTGGTGCATCTGCTTGGCCCACCCTTTTGTGTTAAAAAAAAAGCAGATCGTAGTAAGAATGCTTGTTGGGGGGGGGGGAGGCCTTTAAAAATAAAATCATCTTTGGCTTAAGGAGGCCAGGATTTTTGGCAGAGTTTTTGCATTCATCTGATTTCTAAGCAGCCACCCACTCTGTAAAGAATGAAGTTTTTTTAAAAAGTGGTATTACATAAGGCCATGATTTAATGGACTAGGCGGCCATCCTGAGTTCATTTGCTCACGAGGAAGCCCTATTCAGATTTAATACTGGGGAGCACCAGGAAAGCAAAATCGCATCTCACTCCCTCTGTCGGGGATGCAGTCTTCCAGGTGAATAGGAACCCACCTCTAGTTCATGCGGGGACACACCTACTGTATACACATTCAGGGCAAGGAAACCAGAGAGGGAGGGGATGTGAGCATTCCAGAATAGGGCCACTAACCTGGATTGTGCTGCTGGGGTGGTGCATCTGCATGGCCCACCTTTTTGTGTTAAGAAAAGCAGATCATAGTAAGAATGCTTATTGGGGGGGAGGCTGGAGGGAGCAAAATGCCTCTTAAAGTGAACTGGCCTGGTTTCTCTCTCTTTCCAAGCTTCCTCTCCACGAAGACGTCCTAGAACTGGCCATTTTACGGTTGTCTAGAAATGGCTAGCTGCTTTTATGGGTTCCATCTGATGACTGCATGCCGGCCTCCCGTCTTTTAAGGCGGCCCAGGCTCCCTGTTGGGTGTTGGCAGCAGCAGGACGGGTAGAGCGGATTCTTGCTTGCCATCTGAAAGATGTCAGAACTTCCTACCGTAACAGGGGAAAACAGGAGATTCATGATAGGCCTTGTATGGGAGTGGAGCATTCAGTGGTTTGCAAACGATCAGCTGTCTTAAGGCGTAGGTTCTTAACCTGTGGTCCACAGACCTCCGGCAGGCCACTGTGTCCTCAACAGGGAGGAGTTTTGCAAAGGCTGGAAGAAAAGTTATAATGATATTTTGCAGTTAAAATAGAAGGAAAGGAAATGTAGAGGAAATACTTCTTTCTCCCTCCTCTCCCAATTGGAAGACCTTTCATGAGAAACTTTAAAGAAATATCTGAGACATGTTAGGGTTTTAAATCTTGAGTTAAGTCTTGATGGCCCATGGGAACAAAAGAGATGTTTAAAGGGGGGGGGGTATGTGGTAAAGAAAAGGTTAAGAACAGGTGATCAAAGGTATATATATATATAAAACTGTGTACACACAGAGCCCATTAACTGAATGCCATTTGGTTGCATCAGAAGGAGACTGAGTTGAGAAGTGTTTTGCAGGCAATAAAGAGTAAAGGAGAAGATGGGAGGCTTCTTCTGTACCGCCACCCTTGCTTTCCCTTCCGGATTCAAGCCCTCTTCGTTGTCCCGTTCTCATAACCACAAACCCGCCCCACCTTTCGCGGGCCCTTCGTCTGCTCTGTCCAAGCCCTGCACATCCCGGGAACCTTTCACGCGCCCTGGAAAAGCGACTGACATCTTTGCTTCCTTCCCACCGCTAGGCTGAGAGCGATGTGGCTTCCCTGAACAGGCGTATCCAGCTGGTTGAGGAGGAGCTGGATCGTGCCCAGGAGCGTCTGGCAACTGCTCTGCAGAAACTGGAGGAGGCTGAAAAGGCAGCTGATGAGAGCGAAAGGTGGGGAACCAGCCTAATCCAAAGTCCACCCCTTTTGCCATCGAAAAGGAGGCAGAGTTTGACCCTTGGTGTCGGTTGTCAGAATCCGACTTTGCTCCCCCTGGGTTGGACAACTCTTTTAACTGGCCTGCTGGCTGGGGGATTTCAGAGTTGTAGGCAATAAAGGTAACCCTTCCAAGGCTTCACCCCATGTGAGTGAATGGTGACCGTTTAGTTGGACGGAACAGTTTGTGCACCCTTTATGCAAGGATTAGATTTTTCCCATTGCAGCCTCAGTTCTTTCCAAATGAAGTGTTTGCCTGTTTTCTGCCTTGTGCCTGGAGAGGAACCTGCTCTAGTTTGCCCCATACCAGTGAATGGCAGCCATTGTGAGCTGAGTCAAACCAAGCCAGCCATAATCTGTAGAGTCCAGCTCTGCTCATCGGGCACCTATGCCCTTGCGTTCTATTTTCTGGATGTGACTTGAGTTCTATGTGTGTGTATGTGTTATGTACCAGGTCAGTCTTGTAGTTTACACAGGTGAGAAAAGGTAACGCTACATGCAGTGTCTGTCTTTTGAAGTCCCTCACTGTAACATGAAGGGAACATGCAGGAGTGTGGGTGTTTTGGTTACAGCATGGGACTAGGTGCAGACTGCTGCTTGAAAGAATGGATGAATTTATTTATTTATCCAATCAATTGATCTACCACCCATCTGGCGTGAGGCCACTTTGGGTGGTTTACAACAAGAAACAAGCATAACTCCATGAAAGCACACTCAACTGAAAAAAAAAATACATTTTAGAAATGGATGAATGAATGAATGAATGAATGAATGAATGAATGAATGAATGAATGAATGAATGAATGAATCTTCCAGGTATTGAAAATAAGTAGACCTCAGCTACAGAAACCTTCTGGGCCCAGTTAAATAAATGAAGGTCAAAATTGGGTACATGCAAAACAGGACGAACTCTGCACACTGGAATGTTGGTTGCAAATTTCGGAGGGGTTGCAGAAATTATAATATGTGCAGCTGGGAGCCTTTGCTGGTTCCTGGGCTGGTTCCAACGTTATGTGCAGAGAGAGTTTTCCAGAGGAATGAAGGTCATTGAGAGCAGGGCCCTGAAGGATGAAGAGAAGATGGAGATCCAGGAGATTCAGCTCAAAGAGGCCAAACACATTGCTGAGGACGCCGACCGCAAGTATGAAGAGGTGAGTCCTGCAGGAGCGCATGGGTTGGTAGGGCTGCCGTTCTCGGGCAGGAGAAAGAAAGACACTGGAGCAAGGGCCTCCAGGAACCCTGGAGGTTCGGTCTGTTGCCACGATGGCTGCTCAGTGTTGAGGGTTTCGATGGAGAACAGGCAGCCGAGAAAGCGTTTGGGTCACAGAACCGTCATCTAGCAAGTGTAACAAGATTTTGTTAACACTTTTCAGGGGAGGGATAAACAAGTCCTGGGGCATATGAGAAAATCTGCTGTCAACCAGGTGCTTAACCCCAAATTCCTGTAAAGGCGGCTACAGAATTTATTTCTCTCTCGGTAGCTTTTGAAATGTTGTCCCTTCTGCTTCCCCGTTGTTGGCTTTCCACGGAAGGCCCCGTGGGGACGCTGGGGTCTCAAAAAGTTTGGGTGGGCGCATCATCTTGATGAAATCCTCAGTTTGGCCAACAAAGGCAGCTGTCTACGTCCTTGCCAAACTTTCCTTCTGCCCCACATGGCTTAAGGTTGTCGCAAAGGCACTTTGCCTGTTCTGCCACGGCCCTGTGTTAATTTCTGCAGGGCGCTCTGTCCTAGCAGAATCTGTCGGGTCCTGAGAAAAAAGGAAAGGTGGCATGTGTGGCTGGTTTTGGATGTGGTTGCTCCCGTTTTGAGGATTTCTGCTTGTACGAGGGGTCATGAAAACAGAGTTGGAGAAAAGACTGAGTTATATTCTGTTCTGCTCCAAACACAGTGTCTCCTGACTATGGTAGAGCTGGAGATCTTTGGGGGGGGGGAGAGAGAGCGAGCCTTTTTTGGACTACAACTCCCAGAATCCCCAGGCATCATGGCCATGCTGACCATGGGAGTTGTCGTCCAGAATAAATTTCCCAAACTCTCAAGGTTGAAGACTGAACGTTTCCCCAGCTTGGTCAGTAAGAGCCGGCAGAGGTTAGATGCCAACTCAGTGTGTGGGTAGGTGGATGCTTCCCCTAGTTATTCAGTGGGAGGGGATTTGTCCCATGTTTCCTTATATGCCCTTCCCTGTAGAAAAGGTGGGTATTTCGAGTCATTTTAAGCCACTCTCGCTTGCCTTGAGCCCAAAGGCTTTTAGAGTATTTTGTACATTCCGGAGACTGTATCAAGAGTTATTCTTTTAGCCTTCTTCACCTGTGTGGTGGCAACTAAATTAATTGGTTCCCACACACACACTCGTGGCAATATGTCATTCGTAGTTCCAGACCAGATTACTCATCCCAGTTAGAGCAGCCCCACTGAGTAAGTTAAAGAATGTTGATCAACATTACGGCACATCCCGGGCCATGGAAAACATTGCACGCTTCGTGACCCTTTTTTTTTCTCTCCTTCGGTTTTCCCTGTTCACGATAGGTGGCTCGTAAACTGGTGATCATTGAGAGCGACCTGGAGCGCGCTGAGGAACGGGCCGAGCTCTCAGAAAGGTAGGGGAACCGCTGCCATCCCATAATGCTTGGGCTTTTAACAGTTCTGGTTTCTGTGCGGCGAGCATGTTAACATCGGGCGGGAGACGAGCGAGGAGCTCGACGCTGTGAGGAGCGCATTTCCTGTGGCCAACAGAGCTTGCTTAGGCACCCCTCACGAAAGGGGGGGACGCTTGCGTGTGTCTGCACATGTGCTGGATGTGGCAGGGGGCGCGCGCCTACTGCCTGCGTGCTTTGTGTGGTGGTACAGCTGTGTTTACCCTTGGGGAGGCAGGAAGTGTTTCTTCCATTTGGTTTGGGGGTCACTACATGCTTTGGGACGCGCTCACTGATTTTTGTGAATGGCTCTTGTGCATTTTTCATGTGTTCACTAACAGCCAAGTCCGGCAGCTGGAGGAGCAGCTAAGGATAATGGATCAAACGTTGAAAGCATTAATGGCTGCAGAGGAGAAGGTACTGGAGCTAAATCCACGTCTGCACCCGCGAACGAAATGATCCAGGTTTAGCCGCAGCCCCTGCTCTTCTGCCTCCTCTCCTAACCAGCTTGTTGTAGACGCCTGTTAGCAGTAGTGGCTAGATTTTTTCCCTGGTGGCCTTTTCTCCGCCCCCCCCCCCTTTTTATTTTCCTTCTCCAATTGACTTGAGTGGCTCCTTTTAGTCTCTGGCATGAATGCGTGGCTGGTTTAAGCCTGTTTTGCAGCCGACGGAGCCCAGAAAAGCAGCTGAACTCCTTGAGATAGTTCAAAAATGTTTTGTGGAAGAGATTTTAAATCATGCTTGCTAACCTGCTTCGTGTCTGCCCTTTTCCATCCAAAGAGGGGGACTTTTTTTGTTTTTGTTTTTTACCGAAGGCCTTTCTTAAGGCCACTGATTCCTACATGACAAAGCTGAGATAATCAAGATCATAACAAATCGGCTGCTTTGCACAATTTAAGGTTAAATTTAAATTAGGAACGCTAGAATTGACTTACCTTTCCCATCTCAGGTGGGTTCAGCTACTTTCCAGGCCTTTTCTCTATCTCTGAGTCAGTTTTCATTTTTTTTTATCTCTCCATCTTTTCTCCCTCTCTTTTTTTCCCCCCTTTTTGCTTGATTGATCTTCCTCCTGCCTCTTTTCCTGCCTCCACTCCAAAATAATAGCAAATGTGCTGAACTTGAAGAGGAGTTGAAAACGGTGACCAACAACCTGAGGTCTCTGGAAGCTCAGGCGGAGAAGGTATGGTCTAGGTGGGAGGGGCACCCTATGACCCAGTGGGGGGTTTTCGACTCCGGCCCCACCAGAAGTCTTGCTGACTCCGTGGGGATCTTACTTCCCCACCAAGTCTGCGTGCCACTTACACCTGAGGGTTCTAATGTCTTGTTCCGCTGATGAATTCCTAAAACGACCTCCTATTCCCATGGAATGAATGCAGCATGCGTTGAGAAAAGAAGGCTGAGGAGGGGTAGGAGAGCCCTCTTCAAAGACTTGAAAGGCAGTCCCACAGAGGAGGGACAGGATCTGTTCTTGGTCCTCCCAGAGGGCAGGACATCCAATAATGGGCTCAAGTGACCGGATGCCAGGTGTAGATAGAATATCGGGAAAAACTTCCTAACTGTTAGAGCAGTACGACAATGGAACCAAAGGCCTCAAGGGAAGGTGGCGAATGCTCCTATGCTGGAGGCCGTCAAGAGAAAATTAGACAACCATCCATCAGATCTGCTTTGATCTGGGTTCATATCTTGAGGCAGAGGGTTGGACGAATAGCCAAATCGATAGTAGAGGGCCCCTTCCAACTCCGTGATGCCACGATTCTACGCTCTCGAGCCTTGTCCAGACAGGCTGGCTCCGCAGACTCTCTCTTCCAAAAATATGGTGTCTTGTTAAAGATCCTAATAACATGGATTTTAGGTTTTGACTTCGGAACTCCGATGCATTTTGGCCTTTGCCTTTTATGACTCCAGAATTTTAAAATGATCCATAAGGCAAGTTTCTGACAGCAAGAGTCCTGTGCCTTGTAAGGCCAGTTTCTGCCCAGTATTTTCTGGAGACGAGGTAGATTTCCCAGTCCTTTGTATAGTCCCCTTTTTCAGTTCAGGGCCCCGCTCCCCATAACGTACACATGAGGAGATACCTCGTGGGCCAGTTCAGCTGTTGTGCAAAACCACGCCGGCTGTCCCACAAACGTTGGCTCTCTTTTTAACAATTGGAGATCAATAGTCCCCCTGCCTTTTCTGGCATGCTTAATCCTTAGGATAAGGTAATTCAAGGCGGTTGGGAGAAATGACCCGAAATCACGACGTACCTCTCCAGCTGTTTCGTGCTTATTATTTAGTTACGTTTATATCTCAGTTTTCCTGCAGTGAGCTCAAAACATGGCGTATGGCCCTCTTTTTCATTTTATTCTCACAACATCCCTGTGAAATGGGTCGGGCTGATATGACTGTGCCCACGTTCACCCCACAAGCTTAAGTGCCAAGAAGGGGTTTGAACCCAGCCCTCTTAACCACAGTCCACCAGGCCGGTTCTCTGTTTGACAGCTATGAATTCTAGTGCTCTGACCGTGTAATTCTCGGCACGATATAGGTGGGGGCTGTCTTTGCCCTGCCCAGGGTCACTTAATCCATGCATACAGTTGCTGCCTTAGAGCACCTAAGAGGTGTGAGAAAGTATAAGCCGTCTGAAGCTTAATGGAGAGTCTCCAGGTCGGTCCGGTGAGGTTCGCCCGCTTATTCCTGCCCCGGAATTTAGCCGGATGGCTCCTGGGCAGACATTTTTAGTGGGCTTTTCATGAAGGATTGTAAGAAGAGCAGAGGCTGAATGAGGAGACCGAGGGCGGGAAGAGGGAGCCCCAAAGGCTGACGTCTTCTCTCGCTCGATTTGGTTTCCAGTATTCGCAGAAGGAGGACAAGTATGAAGAGGAAATCAAGATCCTGACTGACAAACTGAAAGAGGTAAAGGAGTGATGAGTTCGGGAACACACCCAAGAGTTTGAATTGATGCCGAAACCCACGTCAGAGGGCTTGGCCGTGGGACACGAAGAGTGATCCGTCCCGCTCGGTGTGTTGGGAGAGGCGCTGCTTTGTACCGGGACGGTGCTTTGATTTTGGACGGGGTTTGTTCCCTTGGGTGGGGAAGAGCCCTGGAGGGACGGAGAAAGGAGCGGGAATCGAGGTGGGGTCCCTTTTTTTTAGATCTGGCTTAGAAACCGTCAACTCTCAGGTCAGGGCCCGGTTGGCGAGGGGATTCTGGGGGACCTGCAGGCGCCCCACCTCCAAGGTGGCTTTTTCTGGGCTGCCAGGGCTTGGATCGGCCTGCCTTGGCTTGAGATGCAAACATGGGAAAGGCAAGATAGGAGGATGCTGGTGGCCGAGTCATTCCCACTTCTGGCAACCCTTCTTGCCTCCAAGACGCCATTGTCCTCAGATCACCTTTGGCCCGTCTTCTCATTTATTTATTCTGTTTCTATCCCACCTTTTCTCCATTGAGCTTGGGGCTGTGTGGGTGGCTCTGTGTCCATGTTATCCACCCAACAGCCCTGTGGGGTGAGTCAGGAGGAGAAGGAGGGGGAGAGGGAATAAGCCCAAGCCCCACCCAGCAGGGTTGGTGGCCCACTGGGGATTTGAACCCAAGCCTGTGAACTTCTAATTCAGCACGCCAGCCGGTCTACCATGCTGGCTGCTTTCCATGAGCTGCTGTCCCTTTTATATCCCTTGCTCGCTCTCCAGATAAGAGAGAGAAAGATTGAGCAGTGTGGGGTTTAGCCACCTGGCTGTGGAGCCAGAGGTTGGGAGTTCAGTTCCCCGCTGGGGCCTCCTTGGCAGGGGCTGGACTAGATGATCTCGGGGTCTCCTTCCAGCTCTGCAGTTCTTGGATTATTGTTATAACACGGTTGGCTTAAGAGCCTGGGACTGTTCAGTGGGTTGCTTTCACCATTTCTGTGGAGCTGTCCACTGTATTTTTGGACTGATTATCTTATATGGAATGACCTTTTCTACCTCTGTGCTAATGGGAGGGGGGGGTTGAGAAAAAATCTCACCCTCCACATTTTTCTGGTGCTTTCCTTCCTCCACTTTCTTTGACACCTCTCTCTCTCTCTCTCTCTCTGTGCCTTTCTCTCCTTTTCACTCCAGGCTGAGACTCGAGCTGAGTTTGCAGAGAGATCAGTAACCAAGCTGGAGAAGAGCATTGATGACTTAGAAGGTAGGGTTTCAAACCCCCCCCCTCCAACGGCTTTCCTTGCTAACCTGAACGCCTGGTTAGCTGACGCTCAAGGTGTTGCTGTTTTGAACTGCAATTCCCAGTATTTATTTTTTAGTAATTATTTTTTTAAAAATTAACTTCTCCAGTTCTGGGGAGATAACTGCTTATCTAGGGCCGACGGACGGTATTATAATAGTTGTAACTCAGTGTGGGTAAATGTTCTATCAGAGCTTAGCGGTAACACTCTCTTCAAAAATAAAGCCAATATCAAATGTCTGAAAATGGGACTGCATACATTTTATCATGAGCCTAAGGTGGAGGTGGTTTGGCGCTTTTTAAATTTTTTTTTGGTTTTTTGTTTTGCCTTTTGCTCTTTTAATTTCTGCCTCATTTCCCCTTTCCTTGTTTCAATGCCCTAAAGCTTTCTCTCTGCATGTATCGAAAACTCCTCTGGAATATCCCATTGCTCCAAAATAAACAAGGCAGAGAGGAAATACTGAAAATGCCTGGAGTTCTTTGGCTGAAAATGTCAGCCGAGGGAAACGTGGCTTTCGCTCCAGTTAAGCGACTGTAATTTTCTCTAATTTTCTGATGGCAATAAGTTAAAGGTCAGGCTGACTTAATTTGTCAAGGATGTTAAAAGCATTGTTTATGGGTTCCTGAGCAGCCTTTTTATTAATATTTAGCTGTCGACTGTGTTGTGATACACCAAGTGAAGTGTGCTGCCATGAGGGCTGTGTGATGCAGCTACAAAATCTGGGGAAGGCGAGACAAGGATTTTGGGAAGAGGCTGGGAAAATGTTGTCTTGGGTGACACACACATGGGTGTTTCAGATAGAAACCTGTCAATAGAAATTGGCCCTTTTTCTGAGTTTGGGTCAGCCGACAGCCTAGTTTTAGCAAGGCTATAATATCACATCGGAGCGTTATTGCTTCAGATGGCTGGAGAGCAGACGTGATATAAATGGCCCTCTGCACTAAGGAAACCAAGTGACCTTGGCCGATTAAAAATGGTGGGTCAAACGAGATGATCCAGATGGCTCCTCCCGATCCGGTGCTTTGTGCTTTTGAGCAATCAGACGTGCCGACGGCGCTCAGGCACAAGGGGACCGCTCCCGGCGACCCTTCACAAAAGAGAGCCAGATGATACGCAAGCGACAGGAAGCGAGAAACCCTCAGGTTGGGACAGTCAGATTGCTTTTCAGCACTGCAGGATTTCCGCTTTCCAACAACCGGCTGTCTGTATGGTATGGTTTCACTCTGACCTGCTCAGGAGAGGGTCAGGTCTCAATGGGCAGGAAATTATTTTGTCCAAAGAGAGCACCTTGTCACAGGATCTAGGCTCCTGGCCCTCTTGTTCAGAATCGATACATGCCAGACCTGGGTTTCCAGATTCCAGGACGGGCTAGCATCCTACAAAAGAGTCGTAGCTTTGCGAGTCACCCGAATTCCTCCTGAACCAGGCGCTTTGCAGAAAGACGCCTTTGGGGCCGACGGTGTTTTGTCAAACATCTTGGATACCCGGGTGCTTAGAACTCTAGTTTCTTCAGGGTTGGAGGTCCCGTAAAGGCCAAAGAGAATTTCTGTGTTTATTTACTCATTTCCTGGCTATGCTTGCCATTGTGATGTTTTTCTCTGCGTCCGGCGATTCCATTATCCGAGTGCCTTCCGAATCGGTTTGACTTCTCTCTGTTCTGTTTTTGTTTATTTCACTCTTTTGGCCCGCCACGCTGCTCCCTCCTGCGCGCACTTTTCCCTCCTCGTTGTGGTGATTTCCGGACGGTGCTTCCTTCCCCTCGGTCACTGCCTCTTCCTCACACTCCCGCACCTCACTGGGTGACCCTTAGATGAGCTGTATGCTCAGAAACTCAAGTACAAAGCCATCAGCGAGGAGCTGGACCACGCCCTCAACGATATGACCTCCATGTAAACTTCCCCTCCGTTTTCTGCCTGCGCCTGTTCTGGATTGCACAGCCGACCTTTGCCGATGGTGCTTGCCCACTCTTTAACACAGGGGTGATAACTCCACAGCCTGGTGCTGGATTTGTTTTTTTTTAAATTATTTTATTTTTACAACCTGATCTTTTAAAATCTCCCACTTTAAAAAAAGGTTCTAGTCCTCATGGCCTTGAAACACTTTTAGTTCAGCCAAGGGAGAAAAATACTGAGGAAATTTCAGGACCGGAAACCTGAACGAACAGGATTTTTAAAAACCTCTCTCTTCTAATAACATGCACCTCCCTTTTGTCTCTGCAAGGGGCACAAGACAGTGCTCTTGTCTTATAAAGGGGTCCTAAATCTTCTGTGGGGTTTCATGGTTGTGCCCTGGGATTCTTGCTGCCAAATAAGGGCTCTGTCTCTTGTGTCACAGGAGACAGGGAGATTCCAGGGCTTTGAAACTTTTCCGTCACATTAAAGAGTGGGCAAGCCTTTTGCCTGAATATATGAATTGTGTTATATTTTTGCAAGGTTTATTTTTACCTAAACTCTTCATTCCCCCCCTCCTTTCTTCCTGCTCCCTTGAGTTGTGCTTTGGTTCTTCCCTTCCAGTTGTCCTTCTGTCTCAACATTTCTACAATTCTTTTTCCTGGAGCTAAAACAATGTCTTACAGTGGTAGCTCCTAAACTTGTTTACTGGGAATTAACCGTATCAGATAAAAAGGATTTGTTTTCCTGGTAAAACATAAGTTTAGCTTTACACAGTCGTTACTCTGTGAAGTTTGTAAACTATTTAAAGAAGATAGTTATTCATTTTATGCCCATTTAAAATATTTTTCTGCTTAACGTTTTGACTGAGGTTTGGTACAGCTCATGTTCTTCAGCCCCTATTCCTTCGAAAGTAATAGAGAATGATGGAGAGGGTTGTTAAGACTTTACTGGAGTGGTACGGCCCTCTCTAAACAGCTGTCAGGTCCCTCTGTAGTGCCCATTCCAACAGACGCCGAATTTTCACAAGATTCTGCTTTTGGATAAGTGCACTTATGAGACTCCAGGGGCGATGCTGGGCTATTTAAGAACTCTTTCCACTTAGGAAATGAGCACAAATTGTTCTAGGCTGGCTTTCTCCCTGATGGAAATAGCTTTTCTCAATGGTGGGATTTCTTACAGAGGTGGTACCTTCCGCCAGGCAGTCCCCACCTGTGTTTACAAAGCCCCAGGAGGGTCATGCCATGCGATTTTCAGAATCTGAAGATCAGTTCTGGCTTCCACCAGAAGTCAATGGAATTATCACTAGATGTTTCTCATTGTTTTCTCCCCAGTTACTTTAAGGTGGGCAGTCACGGACGCCGATTTTGGTGCTCTAAATCTGTGGTTCCCAACCTAGGGGCTCCAGATAGTCTTGGACTGAAATTCCCAGAAGCCTTCACTTACGAGGCCATGATTTCTGGGAGTTGTAGTCCAAGAACATTTGGGGTTCCCAGGTTGGGAACCACTGCTTTAAATCCTCCTCTTCCATGATCTGTGATTTTTTTCCCCCGTCTACATAGTTTTCGTTCCATGACTGTTTCCCAGTGACATGTGCCCAAGAAATGTTGGACAGAGGTCAACTCTTAATGTCATGATAACCTTAAAACTCTTGCTAGCACTTGGTAACCATATGGTGTGTTAACTCGTATTTAGAAAAACAACCAAAGGAAGGGAGAACATATAGAACTCTTCCCAAAGTGAACAGCTCTGTATTGTACAGAAAGTGATGTAATTTCTGCACATTGACAGCTGTTTTATAACCCAACTTGGGTTAGAGTTTCTAATATGTTTTGCACATGCCAAAGCAGTTTGCAAACAAAAAATATTCCAAAAAAAAGTGTGCCATTTTGCAATATACTTTTTGTTTTGCCTTTGGATTCTGTTTGTTGTGATCTAAACTTACCTGTTTTTGCAGGTTTTGATCCTCTAACCTTCCTTAGAAGCCCTCTGTCATTCATTTAACCTCCTCGTGACCATTGTGTGAGAGCTTTTCATTTTGTGTTTTTTGCCTGCACGTGGTGGTAGCTTGTGATGAGATGGAGTTAGAGGTTGCCACCAGATAAGAGGAGAAGGCAGTTTGGAAAGATAAGCATTGGGGGAGAGTCCCTCTGGGAAGGTGCAGAAATATTCACGACTTTCTCTCCTGTGTTGGAAGTGGTTTGCAAAAAGGGAGAGAACAGAAGTTAAGATGCTTTTGCCTGGGAAGGCCAAATAGCCACATAAATGAGATTATTGCTTTAACGTAGAACCTTTTGATTTTCTGAAACATAAATACAAATCAACTCTCTGGAATAAGCTGGGAAGAGAGTAAAGTAAGGAGCCATGCTCTGGTCCTCAAACGAGTCTCCCACGAGTGTTTCCAAAATCTGCCCTGTGTGCCAGAGTTGTTGAAATAACCTGCCTCTTTCTCTCGGCCACTCTCTCCAGCCGATACGGATGGTCTTTTCTCTACACCTCACCTGGTTATCACCAGAGGTTCAAAAATGTGTTTTTGCTCGGGGAAAGGACACATGCTCTGTTCTGGCCCTGCGGCCACCTTGTTTGGCTGCCGGCGGTTCTGAGAATTTATCAGCCAGGGACGCCAGCCTCCAAAGCCCTGCCGATAACCCCAGTCGCTGTTAAATTGTGGGTGCAGGAGAACAGCCACCGGGCTGCAAGGAGCTGAAGTCATGGTGCCGCTAAAGGTGGCTTCTGTGTCTCCTGCCTTTAGGGGAGGTTGCCCGTTGTGTCTCTCTATGGGCTTTCCAGGGTTGCTTCCTCCAAGTCAGGGGACCCTGTCCCGAAACCTCACACAGAGGCAGGGGCGGCCCTTGTCCCTCAAAATCCTGATACCTAGACTGAGCCTGCAACTTCAACATTGACGGGTTGGGGCCAACAGTGGTGGTCGAAAGAGGACTCAGGTTGGCTCTGGGTGAAATGTTACAGTCTTTCTGGAGCTTGGAAAAGTTCTCTTTTTTTGGATGTGACGTTCCAGCCTCTTACCTCCCTCTCTCAGCCAGCTTGTTTGGAGTTGGCATTTTGGGGGAGGGGAG